TATTATAAAATGTTTTATTAAATGTTAAATTAATTTGAATATAATATATTATTTAATAAACTTTAAAAATTAAATACAATGTTTTAATTATTATATTAAAATAATTTTATTTATTACGATCCTTCGGTTCGACCCCCGTTAGACATTTCAAATCATTTGAACCTTGAAGCTCTCATTCTTCTGATTTATTGTCTAATCTGGTTTTCACAACTTTGATTATAGGAGTTCCAAAAAAGCTAAGGCGTTATTTGGGATAACTTTTTTACTATTTTATAAAACAATTTTTTACTATAAAAATTTCAAGTTAAAAAAACTTTTATACTAAAAAACTACTTTAAAAAGAAGAAAGCTGTCCCATTCATGTTAAAAAAACTTTTATACTAAAAAACTATTTAAAAAAGTAATAAGAAAGCAGCCGCAAATGAATCCTAAATTTAGTGAATCGAACGGGATGAAATTTAATACTTTATAGCATGAACTATGGCTAAGGATGAGTTATTCGAGGTAGGAGTTGCTAGTGGCATATTTGATGGCTCCTCGGACCCCGACCAATGGAAGAGCAGAATTAGTAGAGGCGCACATGTGTAATGTTTTATATGAGGACTTGAAAAAAATTGAAACAAGTTTCAGGCCTCAAGCGTGGCCGAATTTGAGCAATTTTATATCATTTCGAGCTCATTTGATCATCAAAATAAATTTTCAAAAAAATCAGCTTTCTAAGTGTTTTTAGATATTTGATTTGCATAAATAAATAAAGATCATATAAAATGCTTAGCATATTATAAAATTTCAAGAGAAGTGCTATGAAGAGTTCTAGAAAAGAAAGGAGTTAGTAATGCTTATATTAAGTCATTAAGAATATGTATGCAGTAGTTGTTAATTGTGCTCAAATGCAAGGTGGTTTGGCCAAATATTTCCCTATTTCAATTGAATTACATCAAGGATCAGCCTTAAGCCCATATCTTATTTGCTTTAATCGTGGATGTTCTAGCTAGACATTTGCAAGAGGTTGTACTCTGGTGTATGCTTTTTGCTAATGATATTCTTCTTGATGATATGGCTTGAGAGTGAGTTGAAGCAAAATTTGAATTATCGAGGTCAACCTTAGAGTTTAAGAGCTTTCGTTTGAGTAGATCTAAAATTGAATATATGGAGTGTAATTTTAGTAATTATAGATCTAGTGGGGGATTGTGATTTTGAGTGATTAAGTCATTAATAAGAGTACACATTTTTTTATTTCTTCAATCTATTGTTCAGAGTGATGGTGAAATATATGGGGATATTATTAGTAGAATTCAAGTGAAGGCTGAAGTAGAACAATGCATCGAGTTTGTTGTGTGATAGATAAGTCCACCTCAAACTTAAGAGAGAATTCTATAAGAAGGTGGGCAGACCTGCAATTCTTTATGGTGCAAAATGTTGGCCATTAAAAGTGAAGTATTAAGTGTTACATAGATGAGGATGCTCTGGTGGATGTGTGACTTTACTCTTAGAGATAGGATATGAAATTAACATATACGTGAAAGGATTGGAGTAGCTCCATTGGAATATAAAATTAGAGAGAGTCGTCTTAGATGGTTTGGTCACATAAAATGATGTCCTTCTGATGACCCGATCAGAAAAGCAGAAGCATTAGATTTGACTAATGTTAAGAAAAGTAGAAGTAGACCTAAAAGGCTTGGTTAGAAAATATTAGAAATGAATTTTTTTATTATATTTAAATGAGAATTTTAACTCTTAATGGAACAAAATAGAGAAAAAAAAGATTCATTTAACTAACCCCAACATAGTAGGATAAAGGCTTGATGTTGTTGCTATAGTTGTTGTTGTTATTGCTACTGCATATAACTTTTTTGTTGTTTTCTAAGCAACTATTTAGTACAAAAAATTCTAATTTAAAAAATTTTTGTAATATAAAATTGTTTTTAAAGCAGCAAGAAAGATATTCCCGTTTTTGTAGAAAGTTGCTTTACGAAATAGTAAGAAAGCCATCACAAACGAAGCCTAAGGCTTCACTTGGAACAATTTTCTTATTATATTTAAAGCAACTTTTTAGCACAAAAATTTTAAATTCAAAAAAATTTTGTACTACAAAGCTTTTCTAGAAATCAGTAAAAAAACTGCTCCAAATGAAGCCTAAGTTGGAGGTTGGAACACACTTGTTCCAAACCCTAAACCCTAAAGCGCTTGGAACACACTTGTTCCAAGCGCTTTGAATCGACATACAAATAAGCATAGTTTTATAAGTTTTAAAAATTGGTCCAGTTTTAGATTATGTTATTGTACGCTGCCATAGAAAATGGAATGTTATTAATGTTAGAGAAAATGGAATAAAATTTTAAAAAGTTTTCCCCAAAAAGCTGCTCTCCTCCGTGCGCCCTCTCTCTCATCCAAGATCAAGAAGATTCATCTTCTTCCACAAGCAATAATCTTAAAAAGTGGTATCAAAACCTGGTGGAAGAGAGCCCGAGGTAGATGTAATGTTCTTGCGGTAGGCAGAGTCAAACACATTGAGCAAAGGCGACTCGTGCGGGGTAAGGGCTTGAGCGGGCCATAGAGTGGAGCAAATGGTCCTGCGTGCATTCTTCAACGAGCAAACCTGTTCGTCTGAGTTTCTTTGGGTCTGAATCAAGAAGAGCAACATGCCGACCGTTCGAACAGAGACGAGAACGAGACAGAGGTTTGGTCAGGTTTTTGTGGAGCATGGGGCGCTTAGGCAGTCGAGCAAATGCTGGATGAGGGATACTTCAGGAAGGTCAAGTTCGCCATATGGGCGCATTTGCTATCAAGATCCTTCATCGCAAGCGTGTGGGCCGTTTGTAAGCTCTGTAGGCGAGATCGGGCTTGATCATGGAGTCGGCCGCATAATCGGAAGGGGGGTTGGACGGTGGATTTTGTAAACTGAAGCTAGTTGGGCTATCTGATTGAACAAGGCGAAGACAAAAGCAGGTGGAGGATTTGGTGTGGAAACCGGAGCAAATCTGAAGAAAAATAGAGAAACAGGGAAACAGGAAGAGTAGAAACAGGATAAAGGAGGTAGAAATCTTGTTCAGTTTTAGATTAAAGTCCACGCAAAATGAGGGTGAAATCTTTAGGTAGTGTCTTATCTACAAACCCATCTGCCTTCGAAAATTTATCCTGGAACTTAGTTTGTTAAAACTCCTTCACCGAAAAGAAAAAGAAAAAACAATGAGCGGGCGGGGAGGCCGGGGCCTAATTTCGGAGCCCACAAGCTGCTATCTCCATGTAATCGAAAAAGGCTTCAACCGGCCATTCCCAATCTAAGGAATGTGCAAATGGCCGTCGAAAAAGGGGATATATAATTTCACACTAAATTCTCCTTGCTGCTGATGCTATATTGGATGTCAACACGGGTGATCGTAGTAATTCGACCTATCTTCCTCCGCGGAATCTGATGCTTCCAACGGCTGTTGCAGATCTGTTTTATCGTCAGAATCCGATACAGTCGGAACTATAGTATGTGCTCGTCGGCCAGGGTGTTGACGCAGTGCAGGTGTGGTTGTCGGCGCGACTGGTCTACTCGCCGTCGGATGTGGCCGATTCGTCCGCAGGGATCGAATCTCGGTACTCATTTCCACAGAAAATAAAAAAAAACTCTGTAATAAGTGCCTCCATCTGACGAGCAATGCTCGATTGGGCTGCCCATAGGGCCTCCAAACTCCGATCCTCGTTGGGCGTGGGACGTTTGCTTCCTTCCGCCATTAAAGTTCGTAATCGAGCTCTGATACCAAGTGGCGTGGAAATCGAAACAAATCTTAAGAAAAACATAGAAACAAGAAAACATGAAGAGTACAAATAGGAGAAAGGAGGTAGAAACCTTGTTTAGGTATTAGTATTCATCTGTAATAATCTTCTAGCCTCCCGGCCGGTTAACTACATATATATGATTCTATAGTACTAAAGAAAAACCCTTGTTCTGAGCTGGCAACTACATGGCACATGTCATAAAAACAGAAAGTAGTAATATAACTAAAAGCAGGTTGGAAAAAGTGGACTCCGTAGGTTTGTTATGTGAAATGATTGATTTGTTGTGATGGCCCATAGGACTAGGATAGGCCACATCAGGATTCTTGGTGGGTTCAAGAATCATTGACGAGTTGGTGCAGAGTTTAAATAGTTTTTTGAGTTTCTGAGGCAAGGCGGAGGCAGCCGTGTGCATGAGTGCACAAGAAGCGGTCACTTGACTCAGGATTAAACGGGTGCCTTATGTGAAGTCGCAGGACGGAGTGCGCAAGGGTGCCCGGGGAAGACGAGCTAGCTGGAGGGTGCTCGGTGTGAGAACATGGGCGTGCCGCGTGGGAGCTAGCGTTGCTTAAGACTTTTCTTTGTTCTTTATTGTAAAATCTTGAACAAGGTAAAGATTATTATAGGACTTGGTTCCGTTTTAGATTAATTTGCTTTACAAGACACTACACAAATGTTCAATACGTATATATAGATGCTATAGGTTGATGTAAAGATTGAGAAAAATGGAATAAAGCTTCAGAATATTTTCCTCCCATCTCCCTCTCTCTCATCCATGATCTAGAAGATCCATCTTCTTTCTCAACCAAGAATCTTAACCATAAGATTTCTGGTAACGGAATGTCATTCTGAAAAATGTTTAACTGAGGATAACGTCACAATGTGCTTTTAATTGATCCCTAGAAGCACACTTTAAAGGAATATAAAATATATTCAGCTGGCATCCACAACTAATGGAATTTTACTCAAGATAAGCATTTTCGCTTAAAGCCACTTGGGGCCTTGCCAAATATGAAGAAGAAGGATTTGGACAGCCAATGCTCCCATGAATCAAACTCCAATAACTTAATCACAACATGCCAAAAACTTACTAAGCATAGAATGACTAAGGTCTCCTCAAAAACACCGAAAAGACTAAAGAGAATATAAGAAAATTGTTTCTTTAACGGCTTTCCTCTCTATAAATACCTTAACTGAGATGATGAAGGGTGTGTGAGTTCATTTAGTTTGAAGAGATGAGCTTCCTCGAGACTTACTGTCCATACTTCTGTATGATTCTGTGCCAGTTGGCTTATGGTGTCATGAACATTCTTACAAAGATTGCCATGCAACAGGGGCTCAGCCACCATGTGTTTGTCGCATATCGCCATCTCCTCGCCTCGGCCATATCCGTTCCTGTTGCTTATGTTCTTGAAAGGTTATTTTGTATCCCGTCGTCAGAAATATATAGAATGATCAAAGCTTTACCTATTTTTATGGTTTCAGGAAGCAAAGACGGCCTCTTTCATTATTGATCCTTGTGAAGATATTCTTTCTTGCGCTAGTCGGGATTACAATACAACAAAATATATTCTTTGCTGGACTTGCACATACTTCTCCAACAGTGTCTGGTGCTTTGAGCAGTGTAATTCCAGCTTTCACTTTCATCCTGGCAGTGCTACTAAGGTCTGTATGTAGGGAAGTATAAATCATAGTTTAATTTTTTCATGCAGAAAGATGTTTTTTCCAAATTGCAGAGTTATATGTTCTGATAAAGATGTAAAAATTAAAAATAACAGACAGTGAGGGAGTAAAAATAAAAAATGGATTGTTATTTATAGTTCTATGTTCTTCATTGCAGAATGGAGAAAGTGAGGATTACAAGTGCAAAGGGGAGGGTTAAAATCTTGGGGACATTGGTGTGTGTAAGTGGAGCTTTGGTATTCACCTTTTGGAAAGGGCATCTGTTGAAGGGTTTTGTTAGGAGGCCCTTGATTGCAATCCGTGGTAGCCATTTTGACAATTGGGAGGCGGTTAATGAGGATTGGGTCAAAGGTTCACTTGTAATCCTGACCAGCCAAATTATCTACTGTGCTTGGATTGTTTTTCAGGTAAGAAATCAAATAGTTCAGGGTTTCTTACTTTTATTTGCAGCTTGCATCCTTTTAGAAGATGATTTACTGCGAAAAAAGCCAACTAAGTATGATAGACAATTTTTTTGTGCTCATGCTTCTCAAATCTTTATTTCATGAAAGAAATTACTAGAGCCAACTTACTCACCTGAAAATGATATTTTTGTGTGAAATTTGATAATTTCAATCAATCGAGTAGTACTATTGCCTCGAATTTGAATTCCATCAGTCAAGCTCACTTAGGGGTTGCAGGAGGTCTTCTCCCTGCTTGGGTTCGGGTGTTTTGCAAACTTTTTTTTTTTTTTTCGTACAATCATTTAGTGTTATAGCACTATGTACTCAGGCTATGACCCTGTATAGTTTGCTTGAACATAGATAGAGTGGAGTGTTGCAGCACTTCAGAGACTGGCACTGTGGCACTATCAAGTAGATTGAAGATAGAGAGTTCAACACTATGTCACTATGTGGCCGGTTGGGCAGTTTTCTTTTTGATTTTTCATAAAGAGTTGTGTTCCTTGATAATTTAAATGGATTTCTCTTTGTTTGTTCATGTATGAGAATGATGCAAGAGTGAAGATAGACAATGAGAGAGAAGTGAGATATGTACTATTTCTCCCAATTTTCATAATGGATATCACTTGGAGTAGTGTGGCTCCGTAGTTTTTTTTTTTCTTTAGGTTTCGGGTTCTTCTGTTCTTTCTTTCTGCTGCCATTTTATATTTCATATTTATTTCGCTGAGTAGTTTTACTTCCCCAACAGATACTGATGTGAGAGATTTGTATATGGCCTAATACTGCAGGGGTTAATTTTTGAGGAATACCCAGCAAGATTGTCATTGAACGCCTTGATTTGCTGCTTTACAAGCTTGCAATCTTCAGTGGAGGCTCTCATATTTGAAAAAAACAAATCTTCTTGGCAACTGGGTTGGAACATACAACTCGTCGCTGTTGTCTACACTGTAATACTTTTAATAGACTCTATTGCGTCTCTGAAATTTTCTTCTCACCATCCTGCAACATGATGTGCTTATTTATTCTATCAAAGCCTGCTAAAATGTATTTAATTTTTCAAATCAAATTTTATTTGGATAATATATTGAAAAATAGCTAATTTAGATTATTATATTGATGAATGAAACATATCATGATTATGCTTTTTGCAGGGGATTGCAATATCTTTCCTAGCTTATAACCTCCAAGCATATTGCATAAATGAGAAGGGACCTCTCTTTTCCGCCATTTTCTTCCCTCTGCTCCTTGTCACCACGGCCGTCTCTTCAGTAATACTTTATGCCGAAAGACTACATTTGGGAAGGTCAGCGAGTAAAATAGTTGAATTCTTCTTCTTCTTCTTCTTTTTTTCTGATCCATCCATGCATGGGAATCATTAAGAACTGTTTAAAGAAGTTATTTTTATTGACCAATACTTCTGAAACAATAAGGTGAACATTACTAGATAATTATAAACATTTGAAAAGGTGATTAATCTTTTGAGGGAAGGAATAACCGGATGCCTTTCCAAGTAATCTTAGCACCCAATATTCATAGCTAGCCATCCTTCAACACTAATCAACTTTTTTTATTTTAGGACAATCATCAGTGCCGTTAAATATATTACTTTCACTGCAGCATATTTCCATCGAGCAAACCATCATGCACTTGGGAATAATTTTTCTACAAATAAAGTTGAACCATCGTAAATATGTCTTATGGGGAGAAATTATTTTTGTGCAGAGGTCGGACGCAAAATACCGTTCGGAGACCAATCAGAATGTGCCACATCTGCGTACCGAGCGAATGGGTGATGTGGCGCATTCTGGTTGATATCCGAACAACGTTTGGTATCCGCACAGAATAATTAATCCTTATTATGAGGAAAGTTTTTATCAGCGTTATAAGATCAAATTACAGCTTCGTTTAAGATAGTTTTCTTATTGCTTCTTAAAGCAGTTTTTAATACAAAAATTATTCTTTAAGAAGCATTAAGAAAGCGGTCCCAAATAAAGCCTAATTTATTAATCTTTATTCAAAAATTTAATATATATATATATAAGCCATGATATGAGACAAAAACACAAGCCACGTAACTTGTCTATGAAGTGTGTGATGTGACAGACGGGTCATTATCTTTTTAGGTTAACAAGAGATAATTATAATTCCTTCAGGCTGATAGGTTGTTTGTGGGTCATAATTTAGCCATAATTTGGTAGAACTTGGTTGTGTAGTGTGTTTATAGGTCGTATGTTAGTGTGGTGAGATGGCATGCATAGACTAACTATCCCTAGTGATAATTCAGTCATTAGTCACTAAGGATCAACATCTTAACAAGTGCTAATCTTGTCAATTCAATTTTGGCTGAAATCCAATATATGTACACATTTATTTATTTTTAATATACATACATAATTATGAATAGATTAATGAATTATTCTTTGTTCATAACAAAAACTTTGGGCTAAATTAAGCTCGAATTTTTAGTGAGACCTATATCAAACACCATTGAAGGTATCCAGAGAATTACATGCAAGCTTAGTCATTAAGTTATAATTTTGAATATTTTCATACCTTTTAAAACATATATATGTTGTCCACCTTGATGTGTTGGTTAGGAGCTTAGGCTATCAACCAAGAAGTTTTGGATTTAAAATTTGTATATGTCATGTGTGTATTTTTTGCATTAATGCACTAAAAAATCATTAAAAAAAAAACATATATATATTTGCAAGATCAATTTCATTCTTTTATAATAATAAAAAAAAACTTGCTATCAATATTTTTCATAATAAATAATCAATCTCGTAGATATGTGTTCCTACTCAGACTCCACCAAAATTTTGTGATGGAGGCACAAATTAAAATATTCAAATATTTTCTCAAATCCTTTCATTAATACTTGGGGCTGTAATTTATTTCCATATAAAATCAGAACTATAAGAGGACATGTGTCCCTCAAGAGGGCCACCCATGTCCATCACCATCATATATGACATAGAGAGCATGATGTGAAACCAGGAATTTTTTTATAAGATTAATAAAAACTTGTTAAGCAATGATAAAATTTAATCTTAATGTTTCATCCAAATAAGATTCAACGAAATTCTTAAGGAGTAAACTATGATTAGGCATTCAATTACAACTCAAGTGACGGGATCTTTAAAACAACAATACAAAGATTAGTTCAACTAGAATCCACCGATTAACAAAGCAATCATCTCACCTTGAAGTCCACAATCACTCGTCTATTTCTAAGGTTGGCGGGAGAAGAAGAACGACACAATGATGGAGATCACCACTAGGTAGAGGGTGCAGACGATCCGTAGCGATGGTGAGGGAACCGATGGCGAAGATGGTGGTCGATGGCTTACTATGGTCCAACATCCGGATGGTAGGTGCTCTTCAACTGACCTCGCTAATTGGTATGAGATGCGGTTGATGTATCCTTCTATTGTAATATCCCAACCTGGATAGGGATCAAAGAAGGGCGATCGCAAGATGTCGGTTCTTCCGTTGGAATCCTCTTCGAATCCGTGATCAACTTTCGGATCCACCATTCATGCTCGCATTGAAGGAGGGAAGGCGGGAGAGAGGACGAAGGGAAGTGGGAGGTGGCGGTTTGAGAAGGGAGGGCTTATCCGTGAGCTAAGAGGAGCGGAAGGATGTGGGCTAGGAAGAGGGAGGGAAGAAATCTGAAATTAATTTCAGATTTCCAAAATTTTTAGGGGATTAATTTCAATTTCAGAATTTTGAATTTGAAATTAGGCTAGGAGGGAAAGACATTAATGAGGTATTAAGGGGGGATTACGTGGTAATTGGAGAGAGAAAGAAAGGTGGAAGGGGGCCGGCCATATGGGGGAGGAGAGAGAGGGGTTTGGAATTAAGTGTATAGGGACCACATGGGGTTAATTAATTCTATTCAAATCTGAAATTTTATTTCAGAATTGATTGAATTTGAAATAACTCCCAAATTAGAATTAGAATGAGAGGGAAAATAGTTTGAATTTCAAATAGGTTGTAACTCCTTTAAATATCTTTCTTAAATAGACAAAGCCTAATTAGGAAATCAAATTAAGGAGGAGAATTTGAAATTTGAAAAGGGGAATGGCCAAGATGGGGGGCGGCGGCAAGGAGAGGGCCACGGGTGGGGCTTGGACCCGGCGGCGGGCGGTCGGAAGTTGGGAGGGCCGCCGGTGGTTGGACCGGCCAAGGGAGGCCGACGGTGGAACGGGTGCGGTGGGAAATTTTGGGAAGGAGGGAATTTTCGGCTAAGTGGGGGAAGAAGGATTTGATGTAGGAAAAAGAGATTTATCAAACCGCAAACCTTGATCACCACTTTCACAAGAACTCACAAAGAGATCCACAATATTATCTCCTCAAGAACTCACAAAGAGATCTAGGAAAAACTCACGAACTCACAAAGAGATCTCAATGGAAAGAAATTTTCATTCATCAATAATCCCAAATACAATGACTATGCCTCCATATATAGGCCTTCTAAAACAAAACAATAAAGACGAAATTGCCCTCGGGCTAAAACATACAACGACTCCCTCGTAGGGGTACCAATGGAAAAACATAAAATATAAATAACATGAATAAAATAAAACATCATAAATAAAGACTATGAATCATAGCCGTCGCTCGACGACTCCTCCGATGGTAAGTGTGTCGAAATCTACTACGGATGTCCTCATCAGAGCACTCCCTATAGCTTCCTCACCGAATTATCATTTACATTTCTTCTTTCTATATCTGAGTAAACAAAATGGTTTATTATTATTATTATTGTTTTACTTTGGACAATAGTAATCATAAACACATACATTTAAATGAATGGCCTGGAATTCAAGATCTTTTGGTTGAAAGCTTAAACTCCCAACTTACATACTAAGGTGGGCTGCCATTCTACTTTTCATCTATGGAGTTTGGACCATTTTATGAGATAGAGATCACTGGAAAATATAGTTGAGTAAATTAGCTCGCTATTAAAATAACAAAACAAGACTTGTAAGAATGAAGTATATAAATCCCTGGAGAAACGTAATGATTGAAAAGGGCTACCTGTAAGAGTGGAGTATATAAATATATGTAGAAGGGAAATGAGAAAAAAAGCAACCGATAGGGATGGGCTCAGACCGCAAAACTGCAAAGGGAAGAAGGCTATCCATCCATAGCTGGACGATTAAGTGTAGCAATCATATGTGTAGTCTTTTAGGGCATCTCCAACCGAAAATCCCATTTTTCACTCCAAAATGCAGTGAAACTCAAAAATGCCGTGAATCATCTCCAATCGAACTCCATTATGCAGGCATCTGTGAAGGTAACGGTCTTTCTCCTCTTTGGCACATTTCTTCGGTAAATTTGTTTGAGACAGAAAAATGTTGTTGTTGGTGAACAGTGCAATGCCAATATTGACGTCAAATTGTTCACCCGCAAGCAAATAGTGTAAGATTTGATGTTCGGCTAGAGCGAACGAACGACGTCATAGACATATTTGACATTTGGTTGGAGATGCTCTTAATTGACATGCAACACAACCAGGTTGAGGAGTCTATATCATCCACCATAACCCAAAAACAAAAAGAAGTAAAGCATAGTGTCACAATAAAAGAATAACATATATATTGCATTACACAAAGATAGAGTCCTCAAAGAAGAAATGTGACCAGTTTGAGGCAATCAATTATGAATAAGATGGGAGGCTAACCCAAAAGTTGTTGAAAATGAACCTGCGCATGGTATGGAGTGATCAATAGTGAGAGGATGAGTAGCTTTGTAGAATGATAAGAAATTATTCATCTAGCTTGGAATGCACAAAATTTTGTCAGTTTTGGTCATGATGAGATTATTAGGCTGATTGTTTAAGTCTGTGAGTTTAATGGAAAGTGATTGGGCTACCTTTCAATTTTTCTATAGGAGAGAGCTCATGGAATTGAAGTCTCTAATTTGCTATAATCTACCAATTCTTTTTGTCCACATGAAGGTGTGCTATATTTGATAAAAATTTACAAAAGCCTCTCTTTTGTCAAGTTTCAATTAAAAATTAAATGTTCATTAAGTTTTATTTTAACACTAAAATTTTTACTTTCTTTATGGAACTAATTATTTAATTTTTAACAAATGTATCGAAGTTCTTCAACATTATGGGAAATAATTTATTCTCAACTCATACAAATTTTAAAATCTATACAACATATTTTTTTCCTTCATTTATAAGAAGAGCTCAACCTTTCATTTTTTCTTATTATTCTTTTTTTTTTTGCAGTGCGATTGGGGCTATTATCATAATCATAGGCCTTTACTTTGTACTATGGGGTAAAACTGAAGATGACGTAGATAAAAGGAAGAAAGAAAATACATATTCAGCAAAGGAGATACAGGCAACAACTCAAAATTCTACATCAAGCAATTGTGTCAATCATGTTTAGTAGTTTAAAAATTCATATTAAAGAACAAAAAAGATGGATTGTAGAATAACCTTATCTTTGTTAAATCCATTATGATGTAAGAATTTTTGTAGAACATATTAAAGGGAATCACAACATCTTCATTTATGAACATATATTTTTCTTTATTTTATACTATGAAGGCAATTTGAATAAGAGTTACACTAGCTATATGTGTTAATATACCTCCTTTTCTGTGTCAATCATGTAATTATATATTTGCATTCTTTAACATGTGGATAGATGAAAAAACAATTATTCCTCTCCATAATAAAAATAGTATATGATATCAGATTATGCAAAACACAAGAAATAAATCTCACATTATTTATGCGAGCAAGGAAATACATAACTTTAGTTTACTCTGAACTCAGAGGAACAGAACATGCTGAAATAATACAGCCAAACTACTAACAGCTCCATCAGAACCTCTGAAAATTTTTACTGCCTCTTCAACTTATTTGAGAGAATTCTCAATATCAATCACAAAGCGATACTTGACATCCTTGTTCACAAGCCTGTCGAGGGCTTCATTTATATCTTGTATTTGAATCGTTTCAATCTGTGGGTATATCTTATTCGCTGCACAAAAGTCTATCATCTCTTGAATGTCCTTGGTACCTCCTACAGCACTCGCAGCTATTGCCTTAGAACCTGCCATAATCATCGTCAGAAAAGGCAATGAAGAAAGAATTGGTCAAGTTGGAGTAAAATTATTAGGTCCGGTCACCTAACAGGGAGATACATCCGGATTTCTCTCTGACTACAGTCAAACCACAATTACTGTAGTAGCTACGCTTTGACTGTGCTTTTACTGTGGACAGAGAAATCCGGATGATTCTCTCTATCCGGTGTCCTCACCTAATAATTTGCCCGAGTTGGAGAGGAGATCGGTACCATGAATAAGGTCTATAGATTGCAGTTTAACTTCACCAATAGCGCCGACAATGACAAGAACTCCATGTGGCTTCAGAATTGAAACATAAGCATCAACTGGGTGTTTCCCAGAAGCAGTATCAATAATGAAGTCCAGAGATTTAGTAAGTGACTGCAACAAATGGGCATGTATTTGCAGCAGCACTTGATTAGAATCAAATTATTCATAAAGCAATAACTATTTTACGTGAATTTAGGTTCATAAGCTATATTACCTGCATTTGTTGCTTGTCTGATGAGATGACAAATTTGTCTGCTCCAAGAATTTGGAGGGCTTCCTCTTGCTTTGAAGCACTTGTGCTGAAGACTGTTACATTTAGTCCAAAAGATTTAGCAAATTTGACAGCCATATGGCCCAGGCCACCGAGCCCAATGACTCCTAGAGATTTTCCAGGCTGGTTCATGTTGTAGCGTTTCATTGGACTGTATACGGTGATTCCTGCGCACAAAAGTGGTGCTGCCATTGCTGGTGGGTAGCCTTCAGGTATCAAGAAGCAGTACCTGCAACCAAGAAGCCAGTAGGGCTGAGAACTTGATCGTTTTTTAACCAAGAAAAACTATATAATAGTATCAGTTTAAATTGAGCTTCAGTAGCAATTACCTTTGGTGGACAACAATGTAGCTGGAATAACCTCCTTTTGTGAATGTGCCATCTATATCAATGGAGTTGAAAGTCCGAGTTGCGCCTTTTGCACAGTGATGCTCTGTATAAGCATTACAATATTCACATTCTCTGCAAGAATTAATATATGTTCCAACACCAACAAGATCACCAGCCTTGAAACATGTAACACTAGCACCAGCTTCAGTGATAACGCCAACAATCTCATGCCTGAAATGTAAAGCAAAATCACAAGTTAATTCATTTGCCACATGTAGTACTTAGTAATAGATTATTTAGATGTTACACAGTTTCTTCATTTTACGTGGTTCTATATATATTTGTCTAAGGATATCAATCCATTTTGTAGGTTTATGCGTCCACAGATGAACTTACCCAGGCACAAGAGGATAGTTGGAATCATGAAGTTGGTTCCTTGTCCAGATAACATCGGCATAACACACACCACAATGTGTTATCTTTATAAAAACATCATCATTTCCAAGGGACCTGCATATATCAATACATCATTAGTGGAATTTTACATAGAAATTGTATTCTGCTCTGAAGAAATAAGGTATCAGCAAACGATTTGTTATATTCGAACGATTCAGATCAATCAAATCTTTGTTTTTTACATGTTGAAGTTAGCAAAAGGGATTTCAGCGGCTGAATAATTTCATGAACGGGAAAAGAAAATAAATCTCAAACCTTCTATTGAATTTGTAGGGTGACAGAACTCCAGATGCGTCTCTCGCTGCCCAACCAATACAATCCCCTTTCTCCCCTTCGCCAGCCATGGCAGAATCTTGGCTATCCAATAGAAGAAGCTAACCATGTTCAGAATAACATCACAAACTATATCAGAATCCAATTGAATAACTGCAGTTTTACAGAAGTTATAAAAAGCAGAATTTTGAGCTAGTTTTCGAAACCAACTTTAGACGCAGAAAATATTGGATATTTCAAAGCGGAATTCGAAGAAAAGAAAGCCGTTATTCGGAAAAGAATGAATTCTCTTACCAGAGGAAAAATCTTTTCTATCTCTTCAGAAAACAAGCAGTACTCTTCGATTTATTTATAACCTCTCTCTCTCTCAGACTTTACACTGGAGTCTGAAAGAGATCTCGAAAACGAGAAGGAGACTTCAATTGCTTACGCACTCACAGTTGTAATGCCAAGGAGCATAAGGGCCCAGGACGGCATTGTTCTGAACTAAGAAATATAAATATTGAGCAACATCTATCCATATGGTTTGATTTATTCGTTCGGCTCGTTTAAAAATATTACTTTCCCTAAGATGTCAAACCTCAAATTTGGGCTCAATTAAGCCTTTTGATGGTTATTTGACACGCACCGAGCAGCTACGTGCGTCATGCATGACACCATCGCAATTAAACTTGTCTTGGACTTAGCATATCATGACACCATCGTAATTAAACTTGTCATGGACTTACCATGATATGCTGATAAGTTTTATATAAAAATTGGAAAATGTAGGAATAAATGGAGAGAATATTTTGTGCGGACATCAAATGTAGTTCATAGTTTGGTGGTCAATCAGAATGTATCACGTCAGTGGTACTGAGTGGTACCAAGCTGTGGTACCGAGCTGAGTACCAAACAAGAGGCGACGTGACACATTTTGATTGGTCTTCAGACAATGTTCAGCATCCGCACAAAATAATTTCATCTAATATATATATATATATTTCTGAAAAAAAAAATTCTACTAACCTCAAAGTGATCCGAGTCTCATGTGATTTTTGGTGTTTGCAAGCAAATGGAGCTCTGTTGTACTTGTTGAAGTTGCAAGTTGAGGACTTACACATTTGAGCGTAAAGAGAGAAGAAATGTGCTATTTCAGTGTGATCTGACTCGATTAAAATCATTAGGGTCCTCTATGAATATATTTAGGCTTCATTTAGGACGATTTTTTTTATTACTTTTTAAACTGAATTTTAGTATAAAAATTTAATTTTTTTTATTAAAATTATATTTTAAAAAGGAATAAAAAAGTCACCCCAAATAAAACCTTAAACTTGATTACATTCATTCTTTTTTATCTTGTAATTCTTTTTATTTTGTACTTCATAGTCGAGCACAAGGATTTATTGATCCTGTTTTTGGAGGGTTTTTACTCTCATAATGTTATTTCATTTTAATGTCAATAAGCATAATTTTTTTATCATTATTACTAATTCTTCATTCAATCACATATCATGATCTACATATGGTATTCAACCATGTATAGAAATGAAATATGCTAATGGGTTCAAATACTTCTACCTCAATATAGTGTGGGAATATTTCTCAAATAAATATTTCATGATATAACTAATAAACTATCTTGAAATATTAGATATAAATTTGTAATAGAAGCTCAAATGACTAATACAAATATGAATATAAAGGAAGGATTTTTATAAATGAGTGCTTTGTAAGGAGAAAATAATAGAATTCTATTAGAGATTCAAATATAAAAATACATATACTTTTAAAATGGTCATAGGGAGTGTTATAACTTGGGCCAGACTGGTCGAAGTCTTCCACACGTCGCATGCAATAGAGCAGCTGAACCGACCTTGCCTTATGCACAAGTAACCGAGAGCAATGGCTTCGCCTAGCACTGCTTCATGCTCATTCCTCTCTCCAATCGTGTAAATCACGCAATTTCACTGCCTTTCGAATCCTCCCCACCCTTGTCAACCTTCCTCTCACCATTTAAACCCAATAGGGAACCTAGTGCTACGAATCCTCTTCTTCCTCTTCTACAACAGTCATCAAACTATCATTTCTCCTCCTCCGTTTCTTTCTCACAATAATAGCTATCGGCAAATTGTTCTCAAACTTCTCTCCTTCTATAGTGAGTTTTCGCTCTCCTTCTCTCTTTCCTTCTACCTTTCTTTTTCTTATGTTTCTAATAATATAATTAAGTATTATATTTCATATAGCCTTAAATTTCTCATAGGAGTTTTGTCTTGCTTAGGAGAGGAAGTTTTATATAAGTTTAATGTTCAACTTAATCAAACTTTGGGTTATCTTGTAATAGTTAGATCATATTATTTCATAATTAAAATGTTTGTTTATGGTGTGACTAAGTTTTATTAGGATATTCATTTTTATTCCTTGAAAAAGATGCTTAATATTATCTTGGTTTCAGTACTTATAGGATTGCCACCTAGTGGAGTTGAGCGAACTGCCATCAAGGTTGGAGTTTGTGAAAATCACAGTAACTACTATTTATTATTGAATAAACATAAACTTCTTTGCTAAGAGCAAAATCTATGTTAATTGTCTCAAACTATATAGATTATTGATTAGACAGTCAGTCCTATCATTATTGTGAAAGGTTTTAATTATTTGACAATACTTGCAAAAATCTTTTCATGCTCATATGAACTAGTAGGATTCATAAATAAATTAGTCTATCATTTTTTTATATTCTCATGCATATGCTCTAATTGAATGCAATAAATATTATTATTGACAATTCATATTTTATTATGAAAGAATATTCGTCATAATAAAACTATATATATATATATATATGCTTATGAAAATCTTGAAAAATTGTATGCTTGGTTGTATTGATGTGTATGTTGGTAGAACCATATTGGTTATAGGCTAGGCGAGGTTGACGGGCTCCTAGAGTGACAACTCCATAAGAAATTATTGATTTTCTTTGGGTAGGTGTTTACCTTCTCGGTGATAGGTATTTGATAAACCGACTATAGTTATATGCATGTAAATGTAAATATATAATTGGATATGACGGATAAGTTATTTGGGGTATAATGATACCCAACATGATTGCATTATATAATATTATGTGTGCATGAATTTATTATATGTATTGATTGCATTAGCATATTAAAAATCTCACAAGAAATATAGCAAAACTCATTGCTTCTTGACATAGTGATTATAGGTGGCAACTATCACATTTTGGTTGTTTATACTGCATGCCCCAGTCCTTTGTCATTATACTTTGATATATATGAGTTATTTGTAGAGTTTGCTTTATCAAACTCACTTGTCCAATTTTTTTATAGTAGGTTCTGTATGCATGTTTAGTGAACTGTCACCGGTAGATTGTTTTTTGATTTTTTATATTTTGTAATAATTTTAGCCGACCCATGTAGGTTGTTAAAGGCTTGATGTTGTTGTTGTATATTTTGTAATATTTTATTATATTTTTCATTCTAAGAGTTGGGTACTTTCTAACATGTTATTTGCTCTATTTAAAATTCTTTTGGCTTGTATCAATATTTTTGCTAATTGTGTATACTATTTATTCACATTAATAATTAACTTTTTAATTTTCCTTCCTACATCTACTTTGTTATATTTATACATAAGAAAATTATCTTGATGAGGCACAAATCTCAAGGCAAAATCAAGTTGGAAATTTCAAAAAATCAAATCTGGAACCATCTGAACTCCAATTTCAGCAAACTTGCAGTTAACTGAATGTCTCAGACATATGAACCCAACGACACCAAATTTGACTCAATCCGAGTCCAAACGAGTTAAAATCAAAGACCCGAAGCACGTTTGGATGGTTCAAACCATAATTTGGATTATCAAACGTGATGTGCTTATAGTTGAATTGAGCAGCTCGACGAGACGAATCCAACGAGCCAAAGATCGCCAAATTTTGATATCATTAAGATATTCAAATGTTCAGTAAGTAGTCTATGATCAAGGGAATCAATATCGGTCGTCCATTCAAATCACTCACAATTTATTCTTGATCTTCTTCCTACTTACTGGCCATGCCACTTTCAGAAAATTATAAATAAACCCCTCATTTCTCATGAGAGGGGGGCCAAACAAGAAGAGAAGGAAAAGAGTTCTATTAATTTCCACCATACTCCTCAATCATTCTCGGACTTCAGTCCGGCCACTGACTGTCGTCGGACTTCTGCCCAGCCACCAACTGGCACTAGATTTCTGCCCGGCCACCAACTGACATCGAACTTCTTCCTGGCTACTAACTGAGACTAGACTTACACCCGATCACCGACTTATGCCGGACTTCCACTTGATTGCTGACTGACGCCAGACTCCACTAGACTTCAAATTATTCTAGGAGTTCCACCCGACAACGGTCCTTCTGATCTCAATCTCCAGATAACGGTCTTTACGACCTTTGTTACCTACCGACAACGATCCTTCTGACCTCCGTCGCCCGCCAACTATGCCCCTTCCGACCGTTGTCAGCCGAATATCATCTTTCTTATCTCCATCGTCGGCCGACTATGATTTTGCCAACCAAACTAACATATCAATACTGATTCTTCCAATTTCCCATAAAGCATTATATATGATGTATATTTGTTACATCAAACCAATACCTTCCTTCCAATGAAGGGCCTTATTTGTAATCAACTGCAAATACTAGTGGATTCATTCAAACTGGGCTAAGCCCCATAATTTTTTCCCTTTTCAAGATTTTCCTTGTGAAATCTTGGTGTCTCTTATATATATATATATATATATATATATATAGATTCAATGACTTGATCTAAAAACTTTAAATGGGGTTGACTTAGCTTGTGAAAAGATTTAAGTGGAAGGTAAATGAAGCAATTTGGATCACTTTGTATCAATTTATTAGAATTTTGAGACATGTATTTCATGAAAATATTTTTTTAGAAATAATTATGAAGATGACTTATAATGTCACAATGAAGCACATCAACCTAGCCTACGCAGCTCATTCTGATCTATCGGTAGAGAGATTTAACTATCAACCAAGAAAATTTTATTGCTCAGTATTCTTCTCGAACTTATTTGTCATTTCAAGAGCTTTTATTCAGCTCCTCTTCATCTCCATCTGCTTTAATTGTTAAAGGTAAAAAATGCTGCTTCTTCGGTCCATTTGCTGAAATTAGTTGGCCTCCTTTAGATGGGATTGGGTGATCTGGGATTGAGTCGGCCTTATTGGTTAGCGTCCTTGACCATAAAATTGCTTTAATGAAACACAAATAATTGATCCAAACCGATTGTATTTCTAACCAAGCTAATGAGACACATTTAATTGTCACAATGTATATTCTCTTCTTCACGTTTCAAAGCATGCATTAATGCATATGACGAGAGATTATTACGTGCGGAGTATGGAAATAGAGAACCGTTTGTGACTTTGAATAGTAACTGTGCTTTTACTTAGCACAGTTATAAAATCGAACTGTTCTTTGTAGTGCCTAGACTCGATCCACACATAATAATCTCTCTATGCATCACACCCTTCTTGGTGAAACATCTGATAAATGTGTTTTTGATTTGAGAGTGGATGTAAAGGATCATCATTATGACTTGAACTAGAAAATAAACTGATAAAGATGGATCTTTTATGGTTAGGACCCCTAAAAGGTCATTTGCCTTTAACAAGTGGTGGTAATAGGAATAAGGTTTCTGTCAAAAAAACCTAGGTTCACAAGAAAATCAACTCATGATTTTTGCAAATGTGATAATTCTGATGGATATGAAGATTTCTTTTATGATTGAAGTATAATCAACATCTATGTTGTTTTTGTTGATTATTTGCCTTTGAAAAATAGATTTCTTAAAATAATATACTTGAATGTTGAATTTCAATATAATAATACTTAATCATGCAAATTGAATGTAAAAATTTCTAAGATATATTAATCTTTAAATCTTGCATAATTCTTGCATAAAACTTAATAAAATTCAAATAATAAATCCTTCAGAATTAACAGTAACGACAACATCAAGTATTTATCCCATTATGGGGATCGGCTAAATGAATCATCTGTCTCCATTATGTTCTATTAAGATCTATTAAGAGTCAAAATCCTATTTAAATATAATAAAGAAAAATGTCCATTTTAATATTTTCTAACCAATTTTTTTTAGGTTTTCTAAACATGGGTCATATCTAATTAATACATCTACTCTCCTAATCGGGTCATCGGAAGCCCAGTGTTATATGGATTAATAAAAATTTAATACTAATCATCTTAATTTATAATCATGATATTCTTAACAGAATTCAGTTTTAGATAATTCAGGATATTACAAGGAAATTTACCAAGCACAAGAAATAAATCTCGTATAACTGGTGTTCACAAGGAAACACACAACCTTTATTGACATTGAACTCAGTAGAAAATGCAGAAACCACCGAAGAACTACAAACAGCTCCATCAAACTCTTGAAACTGCACTGCCTGTTCAAATTATTTGAGAGAGTTCTCAATATCAATCACAAATCGATACTTGACATCCTTGTTCACAAGCCTCTCAAGTGCTTCATTTATATCTTGTATATGAATCATTTCAATTTGTGGGTATATCTTATTTGCTGCACAATACTCTATCATCTCTTGAATGTCCTTGGTACCTCCTACAGCACTCGCAGCTATGGCCTTTGAACCTGCCATGATCATCATCATACTTAATAAATTCCGAGCATTAGTAAAAATAAACTTATGCTTCGTTTGGGACGGCTTTCTTATTGCTTCTTAAAGCAGCTTTTTAGTATAAAAATTTTAAAATTTTTGTATTAAAATGTTGCTTTAAGAAACAGTAAGAAAACCGTCTCAAACGAAACCTTAGATTTCAATCATATTACATGAAACAAATGAAAAACAGTGACAACTTGTTTATATATTGGAGATCAAGGAGATATCTACCATGAATAAGGTCTAGAGATTGCAGTCTAACTTCGCCGATAGAGCCCACAAAGACAAGGACTCCATGTGGCTTTAAAATTGAAACATAAGCATCAAGTGGGTGTTTTCCCGAAGCAGTATCAATGATGAAGTCCAGAGATTTAGAAAGTGACTGCAACAAATAGATTAGGAAAACAACCTTTATATATAACTCAATGATTGGAAATGTTCAGAAGAAATATTACCTGCATCTGTTGCTTGTCAGACGAGATAACAAATTTATCAGCTCCAAGAATTTGTATAGCTTCCTCTTCCTTGGATGCACTTGTACTGAAAACTGTTACATTTAGGCCAAATGATTTAGCAAATTTGACTGCCATATGGCCGAGGCCGCCGAGCCCGACGACTCCTAGAGATTTTCCAGGCTGGTTCATGTTGTAGTGTTTCATTGGACTGTATACAGTGATTCCTGCACACAAAAGGGGTGCTGCCATTGCTGGTGGATAGCCTTCAGGTATCAAGAAGCAGTATCTGCAACCAAGAAATCAGTAGGGCTGAGAACTTGAAACAAAGCTTGAAAAAGACTGCTCATAAACCACATCAAGATCGTTTTTAACCGAGAAAAACTATTATGTAGTATCAGTTTCATTTGAGCTTCAGTAGCAATTACCTTTGGTGGACAACAATGTAGCTGGAATATCCTCCTTTTGTGAATGTTCCATCTATATCAATGGAGTTGAAAGTCCAAATTGCTCCTTTTGCACAGTGATGCTCTGTATAAGCATTGCAATATTCACATTCTCTGCAAGAATTAACATACGTTCCAACACCTACAAGATCACCAGCCTTGAAACATGTAACACTGGCGCCAGCAGCAGTGACAACGCCAACAATCTCATGCCTAAAAGTAAAGCAAAATCATAAGCTGCCGCATATAGTACTTAGAAAGTGCACAATATCTTCATTTTTTTTATCATTTAGGTTTTGTTTGAGACGTACAGCTTTTTTTTCTGCTTCTTAAAGCTGTTTTCTAGTATAAAAATTTTAACTTTTATACTAGAAAGCTGATTTAAGAAGCAATAAACGTCCATAAAAAAGAGCTTACCCCGGCACAAGAGGATAATTAGAATCGTGATGTTGGTTCCTTGTCCAGAGAACATCCGCATAACACACACCACAATTTGTTATCTTTATAGAGATATCATCATTTCCAAGGGGCCTGCATATTTCAATACATCAGTAGCTAAATTTTACATAGATAATACATTCTACTTTGAAGAAATAAGGCATTAGCAAACGATCTGTAAGATTAGATCGATTCAAGGTGGTTCATGGTGTGAGGATTGATTTGGAAGAGTAATTTTATGATAGCAGGAAAATCAGAAAATATATCTCAAACCTTCTATTGAATTTATAGGGTGACAGAACTCCAGATGCGTCCCTCGCTGCCCAACCAATACAATCCCCTTTCTCCCCTTCCCTGGCCATGGCAGAATCTTTGCTAACCAATAGAAGAAGCAAACCTTGTTAGAATTACACTGCAAACTATATAAGAAGCCAATATAAGTGATCATGACAAAATTACAGAAGATATAAAAAGCAGAAATCTAAGCTTTCTAAATCAAATGCAAACGACAGAAATCTTTGGATATTTCAAATATTACTAAACTAAAAATCAAAGCACTAAAAGAGTTGAAGCTTTGCAGAAACCACCGGCAGGAAAGATTAAAGTCGGCAAAGAATCTTACTAGAAGAAAAAAAATCTGTATCGTCGTAATTTAGCTCGGATGGCTTTTGCTTTTCTATTTATTTATAACCCGTGAGGTGGGTGGTAATCTTATCCGCTTGTCCTCTCTCGGACTTCACATTTAGAAACTTCAACTGCTTACCTATTGGAATACGTAATGGACCATATGGGCGCTGTACAGCAATTTTAATAAGTTGAAAATAAATATGTTATGCACAATATAACTCTTTTGTATTTATTCATTTCGGTAAAATTAATGTCATTTTATTATTATTATTATTATTTTTTATGAAACAGAGGTATTTATCAGCTGCCACTCTAAAAGGAGTGTTTGATTGTGTAACTAATTTCTCGGCGGAACCTAACAAGATCACCCACCGGCATCTGACCTACACTTACTTTTTGTCCCACTGAAGAGGCGAGGCTATAGTAAAAAAAGATTCGAACACGAGAAAGAGGGTTCCCAACAGTGCTCGCACATCAACCACCCTGAACCTCGATGGATAATAACAATCAGCCGCTTAATAACCAAATTTTAGTCACAAATGAGCCACTCTTTTGTATTAATTTATTCTTTCATTTTCTTTGACTCTTATATTGCATCATGCATGACGCCATCGCTACTCACCACAATCCACTTAACACCACACTGCCACATATAAAAATAATATTTATGAGGATATTTTGATACGTTTTCAAATAAGAAAATAAAGTAATGAAATATATAAATAAATGAGTAAATGAGAGGACTTTTATATTTTCCATTTTTTTATTTCATTATTTTCTAAATTTAAGTATTTATCTTCTAACTTTTACTAGTTTATTAAAAAAATAATAACATTTTGATATATATTTTCATTGCCACTCATGCCAAATATTATCTCACTATAGCAATTTGCACGATAAACTTGAATGTTTTGTGGGTCAAAAATATTCAAAATGTATATCGTAAATTGTTCATGCTGAGCTCAAGTCAACTAGGTTGGCTAACAAATATTGATCTCATGGGCAAACAAATCCAAATAGATCAATAAGACAATAAGTGATTGTGTGTGGGCTCATCTCCATATCTCATATAATTAATGAGATATAACTAGTACATCGCTTTTTTATGACAAGATTTTATTAAATCATATTATGTCATTCATGCATTTATTATTTTTAATGTAATTTTATTATTAAGAACTTGCATCTACTCTTACCTATAAATAGAAGGCTAAAGGGCTAGCCTAAGGACAAAATAACTTATTGGTCTCTACATCTCTATTTTGTGCAATAAAAAATCATAAAGCTTTTATCCTATTCTTTATCCCACTCTCTCTCTCTCTCTTTTTCTAATTCTATACTTCTTATTATCAATCTTACGAGTAAGATCCATATATCACCCATAGGCACATTTGAATTCAACACAACGTAAAATTCTTAGCTGCAATAAGTTCATATGCTCATCAGCAGCATGGACAAAATAAGGATCTAGAATATGGGTTAGGCATGTAAAATACTTGGATGGCTTAATTTAATAAAGATATACTCGAATGGCATTCCATCTCCGCGAATGTTGCAACATTAGTAATCATTTTTTCTTCTTGGGCAGGTATCAGAATTCCTAAATATTTTGCTTTGGGAGCTTTCACGGATTTTTTTTTTTCTAAAATAGACCACCAACCCTAAACCCCTCTTTAAAAAGTAAAGAGTTGTGAATTAATTGGTTCAGGTCGATTAGGCTGACAAGACGTAAACAAAAAAAGGAAATCCATAATAAATTTCACGTGTCCACTCCACTTGTCAATGTTTAATTGAAGTTCGGTCGCAGAGCTACATCCGGACACTGCACAAAATAATTTCTCCTTTCTGCTTGGCTCAATTTGGGCTCTCAATTGGCCAAAAATGTCATGTCACAATGCCCAGGTTTGTAACACTATTGTTATATTTTGAGAAGAAAGCCGAGGAATTCAAAGGCCCATTATCATCCCTCTAGTGCTAAACCTGATTGGAGCCCAACTAAATGCGGTTGAGAGAGAACCCTAGCTCACCATGTAGCCTAATTCAAGTGGGATTTAGAGTCATGAGAAACTTTAATATCTTTAGAATGCATGACATAATGAAAATTTCCGCTCATTTAGAGATTACCATTTCAAAAAATATCGCGATGCCCTAGCGACCTCCAGGCTTCCTTTGGTGGTGATATCGGAGGTGAATCCTCGATGGGAGTTCGCTCACTATAAAGGGCTCTTCGCGGGGGAATTGCATCGTGTTTCTCTACGACGCCAAGCTATCTCCTTCTGTTTTGCCAACACGAAAGTCCACGACTACTCCTCTTTTTGCCTATTTATGTGGTCTTTTAGTTTTATTTTACTTTTGTTTTGCTTTCTTTTGGAGTTATGGCTCTCCGGGTGCAGGACCTTGACTATTGCAAAGTGTTTGCCCATTGTTCCTATTTTGTGAGTAGTTGTTATATGAAATTGTGTAAATGAACTCTGAATTTTGATATTGAGGTTGAGTCCCCAATCATTCTGATTTGGGTGACATTTTCCAACCTTAGGGCTCATCTTTTCTCTCCTAGAGTACTTTACAGTCTTGGTTCCCTCTTTAGCTGCCCTCTTAAAATAGATAATGCTATCTCCTCTGTATCTCATCCTTCTGAAGCTCGTGTTTTAGTTGAGTTAGATGTAACCAAATGCTTTCCTGATAAAGTGTGGGTTGACCCCAAAATTTTTGGTTATATTTAGGCTGTGGTTATGGAGGACTTTCCTCCTTATTATGCGTACTATAAATCCTTGGGCCATTTTAAAGCTGAATGTTGTAATCTTCATCCCCGTCTTAACCCTTCTCCTGCTGTGCAACCTCTTTCAAATACTGGGGGTGGTAAACCCACTAGTGGATTGAAAAAAAGTATGCTTGGAATTGGTTCTGATATGGTTAAGCAAAATTGTGTGGAAGTTGGTATTGTTGGTGATGAGAAGGTTTCTCAACCTGTGAATGGCGCTGACATCGAGCCCTCGTTTGATCCTGTTGTTTTAGTTCTAGTAGTATCGTGGATGTTATACATGCTCCTGATGTGGGCCATGTGGTGGCACCCATTTCGGGTGTTGCTGATGACCCGGTGGTTTTTCCGAGGGATCCTCCTGTCTCAGTTAACATTGGCTCTATGATGGAAATTAAGGGTTTGGAGCATCCTCCTATTTCCTCTGATGTTAATCAAGTGGATGTGATGAAGGGTCCGTGCAAAGTTAACAATGTGATGGATAATGGTTCATCTAGTAAGTTGGGAATTGCATATGACAATTCTCCTTTAGCTGTTCTTGATGTGTCAGTGGGTGATCTTGATCATGAACCTTTTTTTGAAGTTCTAGCTAGTTTATCTAATTTCTAATGAAGCATTAAAAGCTCAAGTTACTAGCAAGTTGACAGACTCTAAGGTGGATCACTCTGACTGGTTGGATTCTTCCTCTTATGGTGAGAGGGCGGAGGATGACCCGATTGACAAACTTCTAGAATTATATCATTTGCAGGTTGGTAGTAGTGTTAGCAAAGCTTCTTCTCATGGTGGTGGCAAGCGTCGTGGTAGAAAATAAAATAAAAAAAGTAATTACCTTGGGCTTGTTTCTTCCTTGTTAACTGGATGGCTTTGGGGTTGTTGTGTTTAGATTTCGTTGGATGATGTGGCTACTTTCTACTCAGCATCTGGATAGAAGTGGCCTTTGGCAATCATTGGTGGTGCATCTTCTTACTCTATTAAGTTTCAACTATGTGAGCTTTGGTCGTTACCTCCTTTGGATGGTCTATGTCGTCCTTTTGGGTCGTTGACAGAAAGCCTCTTACCATTACTTAGCCGGTTAGCTTGTGTTTTACTTACTGGGGTTGTCCCTTTGTTTGTTGCTTTAGCCTTGTAATTATTGTTTTGTCTTTCGTTAGACTTGCTTATATCCCTTTATTTTTGTTGAAATATATTTTCTTTACTTAAAAAAGAAAAGTGGGATTTAGAGTAAATAAAAATAAAAATAAAAAAGTGGGATTTAGAGTCAACTTCAGGCCTAAATGCCTTGGGTTATCAATTGATTGAGATAGGGCTCAAACTTGAGTTCGGATTAATTAAGGATAATATTTGAGAAACAAAATATGAAGAGAATTAGAGAGGAAAGACCAAAGAAAAATTTGGTTCCATAGTACAATAGAGATCATATTATTTTATTTTAGGGGGAATTTACAAACATAGTACTAAAAATATTAAAATTTACATATTTAACATCTAATTTTTTTTATTTAGATTCATAGAACTCAAATTATTAAAATAAATAAAAAATAATATCCCTAAACATCCTATCACAACACAGTCCAATCCCATCACCATTCTCCTATCAATTGCCACCAATCACCATCTACTCTTTTTGCTCTTCTCACACCACCGGTCTACCTCTAATCACTCTTTTCAACTTCCTTAGCCATGCACACACCTCCCAACTACCACCTTTATCGTGTTCAGGCCTCCAAGCGCTACCTTCGCCCGATTCGACAGACCACTCCCTAGAGGAGCTTGACTAACAAATTAATACAATACACCTCTTTCCATCTAACATCTAACGAGTGTCCAATGATATTCATTGACTTTATTAATAGAATGTTAGATGATATAAATAATAAAATTTCGGAGTTCAATATGTAAGCTCTATCGTTTCGAGTGATATGTATGTAAATCCCCTTTCATTTTGTTACTATAACACCCAATGACCCCTTCATTTATTTGATAAAAATCATAATTCAAGTTTAATCAACCAACTATGTTAGACCATTTGTTCTCAAATAAGCGCAACATATCATGTGCTGTCTGCTAGGGTTTTCCCTTCGTGAACCCTAGCCGTCTTTCTCGCCGGTGAGATTGCATTTCCATGGCAAATAAATGTTTGGATCCAGGTTTTATTGAAGGTAAGAACTCTAAATCCTTCAAGGATGTGCTATCTGGTTTGGTTTCTTTGGATGTCTTCCCGGA